ATTTTTTTGCAGTGCCTGTGGAGGCCAGAGAGCAGCATCTGGATCCCAGGTAACTGGAGTTATAGAAGGTGGGTGCTGGGAACTGAACCTGGGTCCTCTGCAAAAGCAAACAATTCTCTTAATCACTGAGCCATCTCTCCAGTCCCTCCCTCCCTCCCTCCCTCCCTCCCTCCCTTCTCTCTCTCTCTCTCTCTCTCTCTCTTTTTCTTTTCTCTCCCTTTTGTGTGTAGGTGTGTGGTATATGCACATGTGTGTACCCTGAGGTACACACATTGAATGTCCTGCTCCATCATTCTCCATGTTTATCCTTCTTGGTGTTCTCCAAGGTTTCTAGATCTTTGGTTTAGTGTCGCACAATGATCTGGACAAATTTGCAGTCCTAGTCTGTTCACCTCTCTCTCTTTTTCTTTTCTCTCCCTTTTGTGTGTAGGTGTGTGGTATATGCACATGTGTGTACCCTGAGGTACACACATTGAATGTCCTGCTCCATCATTCTCCATGTTTATCCTTCTTGGTGTTCTCCAAGGTTTCTAGATCTTTGGTTTAGTGTCGCACAATGATCTGGACAAATTTGCAGTCCTAGTCTGTTCACTCTTCAGTGGAACTTTGGTTACTGTTTCACAGTTGTTGGATTTCTCTTTATGTTTGGGTGTTTGAGATTCCTGTTGAGGCCTCCTTTAACACAGCTATTCTTCTTCCCATTGTATCTGATGTAGTAAGCACATTCTTCACTTTGTAGCAGTGTTTTTTACTTGTAGCTTCTGTTTTTTGTTTTTTATTGGAATTTCCTAACATTGCTTACTTTGCCCGTCTGTTCTTTGTGTGGTCTACTGTACCTTAGGCTTCTTAATCTATTAATCATCATTCTTTTAAATGCTTAGTGTGATCATTCTTACTACTCTGCCATGACTGTTGTTCTGATGTCTACTCTGTGTCTTCAATCTCTGTTTATTTGTGACTTTTAGTATAACTTGTTTTACTTGATAGCCAGGCAAGGTATGCTGGGCAAAAACCAAGTCCAAACCCCAAACTGCCACAGCTAGGTGTTTAGTGATGTGGTGGTGAGTTGAGTAGGAGGTGGGAGCAGTCTCTATGTATCTTTGGGAGAATAATGTTGAAACAGAAATCCAAATTTGGAGATATGATTTTTATCATTTCAGTAACAAATTTCCATTCCATTCCAATGGTCTCCATATTTTTGACAACCTAATGAGCCATATCACAAACCATGGCCACTCTAGCATTTCCTGTAAAGACTGGTTGTCTGATTGTGTGGTAACTGCTAGTCTGAATTTTCACAGTTCTCTGTCCTCACTAGACTTGCACATGCACTGCATTCTCAAGACTCAGTTTCTCCTTCATTTACTGCACACATATAAGCATATCCTTTTTCCAGTAGTTTCTTTTCTGGGTTTTGACAGGAAGCGTGGTAGCAGAGCAGTCAGTAAGATGAACCTGTCTTTACCTTTTGAGAGCTCCTTTCATCATTCCTTGGCCATGTTGAGACTAGACTAAACCATTTGAGTGCAGACAATGTGGCAATCTCCCTTTACCTTTAATGCAGTTGTTAGTGCCTGCATGCTTGACTCTTAAAATTGTATATCAAGTTCATGGATAAATGAGCATCAACCTCTAATTAAATTTACTCCATATTCCAAAATATTGGGACATTCAGTGAAAGAAAACCAAGACAGAACTTTTATATCTCTAGAACCCAGGAAGTAACGGTGGCTGCACATGGTTTACTTGGTGATTCATGTTGAGATTTTCCATTGTTCTAGTATCAGTCTATGACTGGAAAAGTCAGTGCTTTGGGGGTGGAAGGACTAGTGTTATCACAGTTTATTGACTCTTTCTTTGTGTCAGGAACCTAAGACTTTCCTGTTTAGCTTGCAGATGTTGCTTAGGTAGAGTCTAAGCCCATCCTCACCTTTTCCTGCTAAGCCCCTGCAATCCCCTGTAGTCATCTAGGTAGGTTGGCCCTGTTCTATATTTGCTTCTATCATAGAGCAGTCTAAGAAGAGATGATGGTGAGTTCAAAACAGTTTGTGTGAGTTCTTTTGTATGACAAAGATTTGTGATTTTATTCCCGCTTATTTCATCTTGATTATATCACTTAAAATTCATTGCATACATTACTGAGCATTTCCTTTTTTCTACTGAGCTAATTAGAGTCATTTACCTAGGAGCCAATATCAAAGTGCATGTGGCAGGCTCTGTGTTCTAATTCCTTTCTCTACTAGCTGAGGATAGTAGGCACGTTATTTAACCTTTCTGAATTTCAGTTACAGGTAGTCTAGTAACGTAATACTAATGGCATCTATTTCCTGGGTTTGAAGCAAAGATTAAATAAATAAAATTCTGAAATGCAAATTGCCTAGCCCAATGACTTGTACATTGCTTATAGTTACTACTATGGCTGTTATGATTGAAATTAATTCCAACAAATTGTAAACTCTGGGAACCCTGGAATCACACCAACAGTTTCTCCTGTATCTTGATAGCCCATGGGAGCATGAGCTCCCAGTAAATGCTTTTAGAGTCAATGGTGAAGAGCAAAAAATGAAATAGTTGATGAACTAAATTGTAATTCAAGATATTTTTCTTAAAAGGTGAAATATGTTCTATTTATCAGTATAGAATGCTCTGTAGCATTTAGTTACATGTAATGAAAGATTGTTCAGATTTGTGAAGCTGAAAGTACCCTTTATAACGTATATTTTGTAACTGTATACAGACTACAAGGGATTAATTTAAAACTAGAATAATCTAAATAGCAACCCCTAAAAATTACCATTGGCATTTTAATGAAATGTTATTTTACAGCTTCAAAGCACATAGCAATATAATTAGTAATATGTGTAATCTTTATTACCGATCTTAATCTTTTTTATATGACTGAAAAATTATTTTATGGTTGTACAATTAAAATAATGCTAAAAATGTCAGCCTAACAGAATTAGACTAAAGTAACAACTACAATATTGTACCCCAAACCAGCTAATTTAAATGCAAAATACTTTCTAAAGGCTATTTATCTGAGCTAATGCATGGTAAGGGATTTAAAGAGTAGTTTGTGTAACGAAATAAAAAGAAAAAAGCACTGTACAGCAATAGTTGCTATTGTTTAACATGAGGGAAAATTAAATAGGTTTATATATAGGCCACTTGAGGAAAATATTTTAGAAGCCACATCACAGCATAGTAAATATAAAGGCAACCTGCAGGCAATACTTCATTTCTTGGCTTTTAAAGGGAAAGCTTGAGGTGCTTAAAGTTGTCCTTTTACAAGCGATGATAACATTAACTATGACAACTAAACTGAAGATGCCCAGAACTTCTTTTTGTTTAGATTCTTCTTTGCCATGTTTATACACATATACAGTGCATTCGGATTACTCTCACCCTGCTCTCTCTCATCCTCCTGCTCCTATGAAGACCCTTTTCTCCACACAAGTCAATTTTTTATAGTCACGTGTTTTTGTTTTGAGACCCAGTAAGCTTAACCAGGGCCATCTGTGTGACCACGGATGCCCGGAATTTTAATGGTATGTTTTGTATAGGGATTTCAAAAGACAGCACAGTTGTTTGTCATATAACAACGGTTAGACATTTGCTACAATACTGTTATCTATTGATTCATGGTATTGCCTACCAAATTGTTGTTGTTATAGATTAGAGCATAGAAAAGATTTAAAAATATTTTTCATAAAATAAAGTATGCTCAGTACAGAAAAAACCTGAAATTACAGAAAAGTTGAAAAAAGTCATCTAGGTTTTTAATATTCATAAAGTATAACACTTTACAATACACATAATTCTAGTTTCTGCTCCCTCATGAATAATTTTTAATTTTTTAAGCTAAATAATACTTCATTAGGTTTCTAAGATTTCATACAATGTATTTTTATCATATCACTCCCTTCCCCCATCTTCCCTCAGACCCACCACCGTACTTCATGACTTCATATCCTCCCTTTTGTTTCTATTTTTAAAGCGCATTGAGTTCAATTGTGTTGCCCAAATACTCTTGGGTATGGGTCCCTCACCTGGTGTCTGGTAAACCTACCAGGAATCATACCTTTAAAGAAAACCGACTCTCCCTTTCCGAGCAGCTATCAATTGCCAGTAGATCCTCAACTAAAGATGGAACTTTGTGCCTAACTCCTCCCTCCATGCTAGGATTTTTTCTGGCTTGAGTTTGCACAGGTCTTGTGTATGCTGAGGAAACTATTGTGAGTTCATACATGCACCTGCCCTTGTCATCCAGAGCCTCTGGCTCTTACAATTTTTCTGTCCCAGAATCCATGATGTTCCTTGACTCTTGTGGGGAAGAATGTGACAGATGTCCCTTTTAGGATTGAGTATTCTGCAGTCTCTTATTTCCTGCTTATAATCTCAATTTTTTTGAGAGTTTCTTGTGTGAATAATGTGTTTACATTATTTCCACCCTGTTCTCCCACTTCCACAACCTCCAGCACCAAATGCCTACCCCAACCCCCCCACCCACAATCCCTCTCAATTTCATGACATCTTCTTGATATTCACTTTAAAAATCTGGGGAGAATGGAGAGATGACTCAGCAGTAAAGAACACTGACTGTTCTTGCAGAAGACCCAGGTTCGAGTCCCAGCACCCACATGGCAGCTAATAACTATCTGAAACTCCAGTTCCAGGGAATTTGATGGCCTCTTCTGTCCTCCACAGGCATTGCACAACACGGGTGCACTTACATACATACAGGCAATACACAAATACACATAAAATATAAATAATAAATAAAATAATTTAAAAAATCTGGTTAACACCAAGGATATTTTAGTAAGTTTTAACTCACATTTAAAATTTTTTGGTCCATTGAAAACCTATTTACCTTCCCACAGTATAAGCTGAGAGAATCAAAATGTTACGGTGTGCTTATAGCCACGATTCTTTTGCTGGAAGGAGACGTGATGCCAGATGGTGTTCCACATTGTGTTTATTTGCTTTTGAACTTTTAGGTCCAGGCACACTTGGAAAGCCCTACAAGGCTTTATATACAGAAGGTTCAGAGACAGCAAGTAAAACCCTTCATGACCCTCGACCATCAAATCTTCAGCCAAACTCTCAAGCATCCACAACCTCCAGCACCAAGTTGTAGGCCTCTGGCACAGCATGGACTCATGAGCCCAGATAGTGATGCTGGCTGTGCAGGAAACCCACTCACCAAACTACTGACTCTTGGGAAAGACGATGACAGCACGGAATGGCATGTATGTTTAATAGCTGGTTATGAAAAGCCTATCATTAAGGAATTGAAAATTTTGCAGATATTATTTCAGATGCAAATTAATTTAACAAAAGAAATAAGTTCTAAAATATTTGATCTATGATAATTAATCATAAACATACAAATATGCACAATAAATTATAATAATTATTAAAACTTCTTTACTTATCAATAAGGCACTAATGATCATATTTGTTTAGAAGATTAATTAATTGTAAAGTTTCTCTGAATAACCAGTTGAAGAATTTATTGATATCTGAAGTAGCTTTAAAACTACTAGAAATTACTTAACAACACTAAATCTGAGCTCTGAAAATGTTCATTAAAATGAAATGAATGATCTTATTGCATTAACTATCCCATAGAAATATATATGGATTTTTTTACTTTTGATTTCCAGTGTATTATTTTTTTATTTTCAATAAATTCTTCCCATCACTTACTAACAGGCACTAGTGCTGCTGAGGCTTCAAAATAAAGAATGACAAGCTTCTTGGGGTGTGACTTGCTTTCAAACAAGTCTTCAAAAATACTGAAGCAATGAGTCAAACTGTGAAATAACTAGAATTTGGAAAAAACATTTTGGTATCTTAGTGTAGAAAAAGTAATGTTAATAACCAAACTTTTTAAAAATAAATAATTTATTGAAAATTTCATACATGCATATAAGGTGTTTTGATCAAATCCATGCCCACTCCCCTCCAACTCCTCCCATATACACCATCACTTTTTTCTGGTAAATTCATGTACTCTTTCTTCTTCTTTTATTTTTTTATGGGGTTTTTGGCTACACTAACATTGCCCCCTCTGAAGTGGTAACCCTAAAATCTTTCAAGGATTAGATAAAAGCTCCCAAATACTTTTGACATTTTTGGCTTTTGTAAGCACGATTAACATCTTGACCTCTTCCTTCACTTTTCTCTCCTGGCCAACTTTCAACCCCAGGTAATTCATTTCTTTACTAGAACTTAACCTGAGCAAAAAGAAGGATCTACCACCCTATACATAGTGATTATTTCAAATACAACACCAACTTTCACAGGGGCACTTAATATTATGAGACAATTTTTCAGCCATTCCTGAGTAAAATTACCAGTAATTCTTCCCTTGCACTTCCAAATTTCCCCAAATTTCTCTACAATAACATGTTTCATAGACAAAATATATACCAGCTTTATTTTTTTTAACTTTTCAAAAAGTTTATTACGAATTGCATACATGCATATAAGGTGTTTTGATCAAATTCATGCCTACTCCCTCCCCTCCAACTCCTCCCATATCTCCCCATCACTTTTTTTCTTTTTCTTTTCTTTTTCTCTTCTTTCATTTATTTTTTGGGGGCTTTTGGCTACTCTAACATTCCCCCCCTCTGAAGAGGTAACCCTAAAATCTTTTAAGGTTAGCTACAAGCTACAAAATACTTTTGATATTTTTGGCTTTTGGAACAGAGTATGTTGCTAAGAGGCCCAAGGACATTTTGACTTTTAGCTAAGAAACTGGCTACTTTTCTTTGGGGGTCTTTTTACCCTAACTGCCTAGCTAATTCCCACCTCTTATTCTTATCATGCCATCCTCTGAAGGGGTTACCCAAATTGGCAATAGGGAATAGGGACACAGACCACTCTGGCTTCTTCCATGATGAACAGGGACACAGGGTGAGGCAATTGGAGTACCCCCTTCAGTGGGTCTATCTAAAAGACTCCCAAATTGCATAACTTATCTCGAGGAGGAAAAGAAAGTCTTTGAATCGTGAATAGGAGATGTGAAGGAGAGGAAAAGGAAAGAGTAATTAGCATTACAAATTAGCATTACAAATTCTAGACAGGGAACTAGAAAAAAGAACAGGGAAATTTTCAAATGTTCATATGAGAGTCCATTAGAATTTCTTGACAAGGGCTTCCAGAAGCATCCCTCTAGTGGGCTCTTTCTCATTTTTCTTTTGCCTTCCAAGGCTGGACTTTAGAGTGATGGATTAAGGATTTTCTTTCAGGTATTTTGATAGTTGTTGGAGTGGTTAGAATCAGTGTCAGTTCCATCTCAAAGGCCCTTAGATAGGGGGAGAAAAATTTATCCATCATTTTAGAACAATAGCTGATTGTCTCCCTTAGCTACAGGTGAGCACTACAGTATTAGAAATCAAGATTTAAAGTCTTACATCTGAGCAGAGCTTTCTGATTAGGAACAAAATCATCAATGAGAAATAATTGTCTAAATAACTTTTTATATAGACTTAAGCCTAATGTCTGGGAAGTGTAATCCCTTGAATTCTTAAAGAAATATACTGATGACTTTACTCTTTGGTTATACTTCCCTTTTGAGTGTTTAAGACCGTACAGTTGGCCCAAATCAATTTATTTTTACTTTAAGATCATTTGAGGATCTATTCCTCAGGGTTCACATGGGCTTGGGAGGATCTCCTGGCTCCTTTCTTTTACCAGTTCCATCTATGTGAAGATAAGTCAAAGGTCCTGCTTGACCCTGTCTGGCTTCACTTGGAAGCATGGATGAGATGTTTCCTCTGAGTTGACCCTCCTCTTAGAAGACTGGACACTGGTTCAAGTCCATTTCGTGGGGTATCCATGGCCTCCCTGAACAAGAGGACAGGTGACTGACCATAGTTACAGGACAATTTGAGAGATGTTCCATAGTCCCATGGAACTTAGTCAACCTTGGAGGGCAAGGGACAAAAACTGTCCTTTAAGTGTCTCTGACAACATCAGTATAGGCCTCAAACTATGGCTGTTAAACATCCAATAAGGTTAGTTCCACCAGTCTGGTGCTTTTAATAACCAAAGTTTTTTTTTTTTTCCTTTTCTTTCTTCTACTTGTTTGTTACATGGAGCAGAAGTCCATAATACCCCACACTTCTCCCAATCTAAACTTCTGGTGATTACTCCTGGCTTCAGGCTGATTCTTTTCCACTATTAAGTTTATAACTTCAAAACACAAAAGCATAGTTCTTAGCGTTTCATTATTTGAATCCAAACAAGAAAAGATTTTAAAACAAAATTTCTATATTAACTTGGAAAGTAGAAAAGAATAAAGATCTGATAGATTGTTCATTGAAATACAAAACAATCACATTGTAGGACTCTGAAATTCAGTAATCCAAAACTGAATGTACATCTCTGTATGTATATTTACTTAAGCTTTTCAAT